GTTATTCAAAATTTCAGAGACTGAAAAATACAGCAATTTTAAAATAATTTGCGGTGGTTGTGGAATTATATTATTATAAAATTATATTTTTCTAAACAAAGTCCATTTAGAACAATTTGACTAAACTATTGGACCACAAATAAAGTATGTTTCAAATATCAAATTATTCGTACAAATCGAGTGACTTCTGTATTAATTAGCCGGTTTGTAACCTGGTCAAAATTTAGTACTTGACTACTCGAATTTATTACCTATATCCAAAACTCGTAGAATAATTTCGCCATTATCAATCACGATTCGATTGCCAGGTTTAACTGTTTCTCGCAAATGTTCACAACTTAAATAAATCAAGTCACTGCCGCAACTGGCATAAAATGCAGGGTCGCAGGTAATGCGCACCGAGCTACCCTCCTCAATTGGAACTGCGTTCATGTGCTAAAAACAAAAAAAATCAGGACTGTATATTATTTAATAACAAATCTAAAAAGAATTGCTATCCTAGAAGGAGTTACAGTATATACATATATATGAACAAATTTTAATTATAAGAATGAAACTTTTCGGTTAGTTATGAATGGAGGCTAGAACTTCTGTCAAAACGTATGGATTTATAAACTTATACATACTAGTTGATGAGTTACTAATATGTATAAGAATGACACATAATTCAGCTTAAATCTAGTTAAGTTTATATATAAATATAATTGTGCTCAGACCAAAAAGTATAATCGATGGGCATGGAGAAGAAATGATAACCAAAAACCAGATTTAAAACTATTAACAATATTTCAGTTTAGTAGTTTCGATGCCAAAGTTACAAAACGAGGCAACAACTAATAAAGAATTTCAGTCGTTAATAAGTTTAAGCAAATCAATGAATACCTAAGATCTGCGCGAGGTTAGATTATCAATAGATTTATAGTATTATAAATGAATTAAATATCTAATTCTTATTTTTAATAAGACGTTTACATTTGCAAGTTGACCGTTCTGACTTCCGAGCCACGTGGTTCTATTGCGATTCCCAGAGTCATGAGCATCCCTTGCCGCGTACTGTAATTGTTGTTAGACATCCTTAGTGAATTTAATTCCTAAAAAATATAGGAAGAATATAAGTTACAATATGATTCTATCAGGAAGTTATAATATTAACATGCTGATGTATTGGCTTAGATAGATTCGCATTGAAAGAGTTCATTATTGATATAACACAATATTTTTTCTCCAATTGTCTGCGTCTATTCTTATTCTTATTTGAATTATTCTTAATTAAGAGAATTTGATTATTCTCTTTTGAAAGCAAGCTTTTTGACTAAACGTCTGGATGTAAAATAATTATAAATAATTTTAACATGATACAGTAATTTGAACGAACAATTTCAAATCGAGAGTATGTTATATGATTTCGATAAAATTGAAGATTTAAAATTAGATCCAATCTAATAAATGAATAAATGAATATATTACACCTAAGTCTGTTTTTACACGGAGATTGGTTCCAGAAGAAGCCGTGTAAAAAAAAAACGTGTAAAAAAGACATTAATCTTATACAAAAATGGGTGATTTGTCCTAGTCTCTAACACCTATTAAAATTAGTGAAAAACAAGAATTTTCAAGAACAAGAATTCATGTTTATTTTAATAATAATTCCCCTAAATTAGTGCTATTCACATTTGCTTTGACCAGTAAAATTGTTTGTACGCACTAAAGGAGAATTTACTTAAATCTTTAAGCTAGTGTTCGCAAACTATCGATACTATCGATGGTTTCAGATTTTTTTCTTTCATAAATACTTTTTGTGATATGAACATTCTTCGCAAAAAATAAATTTGACAAAAAAATTTAAGTACATAAAATTTCAAATCGTGCTAAATGGAATAAAATCGTGTAAAAAAATTAAAAATATTCAATTTTTAAACCGTGTTATATCAAAACCGTGTACAAAAAGACCGTGTAAAAACAGACTTAGGTGTATTTTATTATTGGTGAACTAAAATTTGATTTTCGTTAATAAAATTTACAAATCTCAGTGTTAGAAAATTTTTAATATAAATTTATTTAATTTAAACCTATTTTAGATTCTTACTTGTCTGTGGTGCTCTAAATCGCCGTGCACCATATTAATCCTAGCTATTGTCATTCCAAGCTCTAACATGGTTTCAATTTGTTGCGGCATTTCAGAGTTGGGACCTTATTAGATTTATAATTAGCAATTAAAATTATCTAAAATGAAAATAAAATACATAAAAAATATCCCACGAAAATAAATTACCAATAGTGCACATGATTTGAGTAATTCTACTATTTTTAAGATCGCAGTCATATTTCATATTACTCATATGCTCAATATGAGATTGGGCATTTGTAGATTTTATTTGAGACTTTCTAATAGCATCTACTGCAACGTCCTAAAAATGTAATAAATTATTATTATTGTTACAAAATAATGAGAACTATCAGATATATAATATACTACCAGATAACTCAATATGAATGAATTATGTACATAAGGCTAATAAATTAAAATGACAAAAGTATATATTTAAAAATTATGCGTTTACTGGCTTATGCGTTTAATGACTTTTTTACTTATAATGAATCTCCACGGATATCGAATATCATTAAATTATAAATTTTTGAACAAAATTATTGTTTTAACAATGTTATAATATAAATATTATTTTTACTAAAGACAAGTAGTGAAATAAAAGCTGAGATTAAAAGTTAATGGATAAAATTGTAAGATAGAAAAAAAAATCTTATTCAGTATTTTATTTATGTCTATTTGAATGTCTTGATATGTAATATCAAAATATTTGACCAATTCACAGTACAAGTATTTACATTATTTAATGTACCCTCCCGCCGTACATGAATCAGTTTTGAAACTGTTATAATATTAAGTATATTGATTAATTGTTTTTTATAAAAGTATCAGTTTATTATATTGTGGACGAATTCTTACCCAAGGCAAAATATACTCCTGATCTGCCCATTTCTCCATTTTGAAATTTAGAAAGACTAAAAATTTATAGAAAATCACAAAAGTACAAAATTAGAATTTAAAGTATAAAAAATATAATTTACATGACGGAAAATTCAATTGTTTTCAAAAAATCTAGCTGAGTACTAGTCTATTTAACTTATTTTAATAAGAAATATTTTTTTCCAAGAAAAAGTAGAACGTGTAATTTAAAGCTGGCACATCATCATACCTCGCACAATTTTTTCATATTAACTTAAATAAGCAATCAAATGAGTCAATTATTTTTACAGATCTGGGCAACATCGGATCACAAGTTCTCACAAAATTGGAACTAATAGGCTCTTATAAGTATAATTTTTACTGAAATTTAGTCGGAACCTGTTTTGCAGTTCCTATCTCGATAACAAATTAATATCTCGATAATATATACTTATTGGTAAAAAATAATAAATATTAGTATTCACTCCGTGGGAATTAATGGCACAATAAATGTAGTTCGACGTAAATGTACGCTACTTTGCAAGACAAAATTGATCACCTAAAAGAAGAGTTAGTTCGGCAAACGACAGTAGTATTGTTTTCCTCGCGCCCGGAATTTAAAATACAAGATGAAATAGTGGCGTCGAACGTGTTTTATTAGTCATGGTAAGGGTTATATAAAATATTTAAAAATGAAACTCATACGTAGTTTATTTATAAACATAATTATATGAAGATTTAACTTTATGTTTATGCAAAATACTGACTGAATGAATAACGATTTTATTCTATTGTAGTTGTTTCTCTGAGGAATAAGATGAGAATAATGACAAAGTAGTGGTAGGTGCAAGAGCATCAAAAATGAGTAAACAAATAGAGTGAAAATGTTTTTATTAACTATGGTAGCATTATAATAATTATATTTTTTATCTACTAATTTAAAATTAAAAATTAAGATTGTGGACATATACGGGAGAAAGAAAAAAAAGTGAACTATCAACTTGGACATGTCTAAGATCAGAGCATTGATTGTCCAGTATTATGACTGCTCAACTGAGACGAAGCATGAACACTTTATGCATGTGGGCCATTCTTATGAAATGGAATGGATTTAAGATTGTTTTGGTAAACCCTTTTCTAAATTCTGTAGTTTCATGTTATACACGTAGCTTGTTGAGTCTCCTTACTTACCTCACGTAGTGAACGTTTGTCACTTTGACTTCGGTATCAATGGCAAACGATACAAAATATACGACGTACGAGGCGCGGAAAAAGCCGCGGCGACCCAAAAATACGGATTCGAAAAATTCATATACCAACAAGATCACGTAAAACCATATCCTTCAAATGTTTTGCATTTCACTATAGATTTCAAAATGGTAGTTTTTTGCCCTTCGAAGGTAAAATTAATATTTATTCGACGAAAAAATTGATTCCATCATATATAATATTATATGGTACTTTTTTAAATATTCTATTCTACAATATATTTCTGCAGTTGTTTTTCATCTAATTTTATTATTCAGGAATACTCATAGTAAAGGACAATAAAAACACTTACGTATTATATGAAAGATGACTTCGGTAGGTAGGGAAGGGTACGAGTGTACCATGGTACGAAAGTGACAATTGCCATAACAGCTATACTATACTGATTTTGACATAGGGTCTAAAGGGCGAAAGACATAATATATTTGTTCGAACATTTTCCCATTATCGCATTCGATGTTCTTTAACTTTTTCTTGTATACAATTAGATCACTTTGTTTATTATTTTGCTGTAGTTGAAAATTAGTTAGTTAATTAACAACAATTAGTTTTTGCGTAGATAATTTAGCTCAGACATAACGATGATTTGTTTTCAAAAATGTACGCTGGGTTCGGTTGTGACGTATGGCTTTTATCCGATACTTGATTTGATTTGATTTTTTTCTATTTTGGTCTCAAACTATTCAGATTGACTTCGAATTTTCTGGCGTGTTATATGCTGGTCTTTCTGTCTAGATATTTTGCTCTCGACTTCAAATTATGAATTTGGCGCAAACATAGAGGTAAATCAACAAGTGCCTTTGTTTAATAATTTCAATATTTGATTGTGTTTTAAAAATACTTGAAATACTTTAGAAGATACTGCATGTTTTACAAATATCGTAAATATTAAACCGCAAATAAGCTTTAACTTTATAGAAGGAACATCTGTTGGATTCTCTCACATTTACATTATGTTTTCATTATAAAAGACTTGAAAGCATCTATGCAGATATGATAAGCAAGCGTTCCTGGTGCTCCCTCGTACTATCGTATAATAATATAAACAAGTTTTGTGCTATGGCTGGACCAAACACAAACGAAACTGCATAACTTTGGATTCTATGAGATTTCTTCTCAATAATTTTGTTTTGGAATAGTTCGGAAGTTGAAAACTTTCAAAAATATCCTAGGAATTTTGAAATATTTCTCAATGCGGATCTTATAGAAGGAACTTTCGAGATGCGTTTTGAAATGCGAGCATTGGATTTTAAAACGATTCGTATTCCGATGTTGGTATTTACACTTACTTCTGAAATGCCCTCAAAGCACTTTGCAAAAGTATCTACAACTCGGTTAACAACTTAGTACAGATTCAATTCAGGAATTTTACATATATTTATATCGGAAGCATTGTGTATAGGTATGTACTTATGTATAAGTTGTGTATCGTTGGAAACATTGTGTTTAGTAATTAGTACAAAAAAGTTTATTCATTCTGTTCTATCCATTTATTTTAATACTCGATTTTATTTTTAAATTTATTTAATCAATTACTGTGCTAACTATAACTTTTATAGGCGGAGAGCTACTGAACCTTTTGAATGACGGTGTACCAAAATCATCTCCTTGCAATTTTTTTCTGCACATTATCATTTAGCAATGCAAACAATGTCAAAATAATCCAAAAATTACTTGTTCCTATTTATTAAGAAGTGCAAAAATCAAACTGCTAGGCGATTTCAACCTGCACAAGTACTTGTCAGGCGAGCTAAAGGGTTCACTTTTATGAGCAGATGTATGCATTAAAATAAACTTTGTTCTATAAGGTTAAGAATTATATATATATATATATATATATATGTGGTGTGGTGTGTGGTGTGTGTGTTTGTCTAAGCAATTTTAAAACAGTATGTACAATGCCAAGGCGATTCTGTCCAACCTGAGCCCTTACCAGGCGTAGGAAAAGGAAAAGGCGTAACGCGAAAACTGATACCATACGTGTAAATTATATTATGTGAAAATTAAAAAATAAGTTTATGGCCGAAATTGATTTAATTATTTACAATAAATATACATTTTACTTTTCAAATTAAAATTCATCATCAGATATACCGATATACGGTTTATTAAACCATATTATTTTTATAGTTAAAATAACAAATTCTATTTATTTATTGATATCTGAAAGAGTTATTGTCCCTATGGTAAAGTTTGTTTTATTATACGTATTGCTCTAAATTTTCCACATAAATCAAAATCCATTTGGTCGTTCAACTCGTTGTAATATTCCATTTTGTCGTTTATCTTAGAGACGTTTGTGTTTTGACATATCTTGGCAATAGTTGCGATCGTGTTATGTACGAAGCGGGCGTTAAACGCACTAAAATGTAATCTTCTGTGAATTCCCAAGCGGAATAAAAATAAAATGACAATAGCCAATCTTGGTCCGCGACCGAAGTTTTAGAGCTTTTCCTCTTTTGAACTTTCGACCATAGAGATATGCGCATTCTCGCTTGATTGAATCCGCATTACCGATGCTGCTGTTTTGTGTCCATGGCACTTTTATGCAAAATCGAACTTGGAACGGAATCTTGTTGGCTTAGGACAGAATAAGAATGACGATTTTTCGCAGCGGACTTTCGTGCTATTTTATATTAGTAACTTTTATTGGAAACAATAACTTTACAGTCAACAAATGCAGTCTATTTAACTTTCCGATAGGAAAAGATATTATGTTTTTTTATGGCACGCCTTAGGGGGCGCCAAAACGAGATTTGGATATAAAATTTATAATATAGTTTTTTCAATATCATTCAAGAAATATATACTTTTTTGCATCTTTTACTAATATATGAACAATATAGAAAAATAATGGCATGCGGGCACTGAGGACCCCAGGACCGGCACTGTATATATATATATATATATATATATATATATAAATTTAAATTTCTAGTACAATTCTATCTTGTTCACACCGGATGATTAAGTTGAATTTTGCCTATTACGCCTTTTTTCATGAAAAATTAAATTGATATCAAGAAGTGTAAATACGTGCTAGTTTAAAAAAAAAATACAAAGGTAAATTATGTTCTGATAAAAAACAATATTGTTTTCCAAAATTGTTTATTTATTTTCTAATAGATTTCTAGCGTCCTTCATAAAATTATATTAAAAAGAATAAACAATGAACCGAAACCAACCGGCTTGTTTTTTAGAACCGTGAACCGGAGTCCGGAACAAACACGAGAACCGGTTCTTTAATTTTAGTGCTCCGGTAAAAAAAATAGCACAACACCGCTGATTTAGACAATCATAAATCACAAATCAAGTTATTGTGATAATTTTAAATGCAATTTTTGGTAAAAACTTACGAATTAATTATTTATTAATTAACCAATCACTCGTATTTATCTAATTTTTACATTTATTAGAACATTGAATTAATTAGAACAATGTATTTTTTGTACATATAGAAAAAATATTGTCAATTTAAATTTAAATTTATATATTGTAAATTTTGTACATTTGTGTTTTAACATACAATTTTGTTACCATCTGCAAAATCCAAATAATAAAATTATAGCATTACCATTTTTTATCTTTTCTGAAAAGAAATTTATTACGGCGTTGACACATTTTGCAAGAAAAGCACAGATGTTCATAAATAAATTATGCACAATAATATATATTGTCGCAGAAAACCGACACAAATATTCTCATACATTTTTCATAAATTTGTGTTGGGTGTTATGTATCACAAGATGTCGTACCTACCTATATCTCCG